GGGACGCGCTGTGGGGCGAGAAAAGTCATCCCCCGGGCCGCGCCTGGGACGCGCTGTGGGGCGAGAAAAGTCATCCCCCAGTCATCCCCCGGGGGTGGTGAACTCAGCCAAATAGGGCGCATAACTTTCATCCCCCATGCGTTGTAATCTGGTTCACGCCCCGGGGGATGAGTATTCAACCTACTTGAATAACAGTGCGTTACGCGAGACGTGGTCTGGCGTACATATAGCTAGTAAAAAGACAGATCGAGTTCGAAGATGAGCATTGTAGCTCAAAAATTGACTTTTAAAAAAATCAAAAACCACAGGTCGCAAAATATAATTTTTTTCAAATATTTTTTATGGGCCTCTAAGGGGTAACTCGTGAAAGTAGAGCCCTATGGGCGAAAATTTCGCCTGTTTTGCTCTATTACCTTGTACCGTTTCGGCGCTATGAGGCGTTTCTTGGCGAAAACAACGTGAAAAAGACAAAATGGTCTATTTAATCGTAAAAAAGGCTTCATGACACAGAATTGTGAAGGGAGTAATTGGCTGAGCGATAGCGAAGCCTATTACTCCAGTGATGATCAAAAAGTTTCGCGTCTGTCTGTCTGTCTGTGTGTCTGTGTGTCTGTTTGTCTGTCCGCACGATAACTCGAGAACGAATTGAGCTAGCGACCTGGGATTTTCAGGGTCGATTTGTGTCATAAAAAGACACATCGAGTTCGAAGAAGGGCATTCTATCTCAAAAATTGGATTTTTAAAAAATCAAAAACCACAGGTCCTCAAAATGACGTTTTTTAAAAATATTTTTTTACGGTTTCCTAAGGGGTAATGCACCGAAGTAGAGCCCTATGGGCGAAAATTTCGTCCGTTCGGCTCTATCTTTAACCATTTAGGCGCCACAGGGAGTTTTTGACGAAAATGAGCGAAAAAATATACAACATTGAATGCTTAGTCGAAGAGACGGGAAGTTGACGGGCCAGAGGCCCGTATCTTTGTATACATTTTTGCGCTACCCGACTCGGGTATCAGCGCCGCAGGCCTAGGTAGATGTATGCCAGGCGCGTCGCAGCGAACAGTGTTTCGTGAGATATCCCGAAGCCTGTTACGCGAGACGTGGTCTGGCGTACATCTACCTAGTACTTAAACCACACATTACGGGTCGAACCACACCCTCCTTTGGGCTCTAGGGTCCCTAGATTATCTAGTATCTCTAAAACATTAATTTTTACATATGAATCTGTCAAAATTCGAACTTTTGATGAAAACCGTTACTGAACAGCAAAAGTTTCATGTCTCTAATCTTAGAGCTATAAGATCCCAAAAAGGGCTCGAGTCTGTCAGAATTTGGGCCCGAAAGGCCCTGTCCTCTATACCCTCTCCTTAACTCGTCTCGGGTGTCAGCGCCGCAGGCCTAGCTATATGTGCGCCAGGCACGTCGCAGCGTAACAGTGTTTCGTAAGATATCGCGAAGCCTGTTACGCAAGACGTGGTCTAGCGTACATATAGCTAGTTGGTATTATTGGCTGAGCGATTAGCGAAGCCCATTACTCCACTGACCGAAAAAGTTTCATTCTGTTTGTGTGTTTGTTTGTGTGTTTGTTTGTGTGCTTGTTTGTCTGTCCGCACGATAACTCAAGAATGGATTCAGACAGCGATCTGGGAATTTTAGGGTCGTTTTGTTTCAGAAAAAGACAGATCGAGTTCGAAGATGAGCATTGTAGCTCAAAAATTGACTTTTAAAAAAATCAAAAACCGCAGGTCGCAAAAATTTTATTTTCAAATATTTTTTTAAGGGCTCTTAAGTGGTAACTCGTGAAAGTAGAACCCTCGCCTCGGGCGAAAATTTCGTCCGTTTTGCTCTATCTTGTACCGTTTGGGTGCTAGGGGGCATCTCTGGACAAAAATGTGGTGAAAATGGCTAAATGGTCTATTAAACCGTAAAAAGGCTCAATATATATAAAACTAGCTATATGTACGCCAGACCACGTCTCGCGTAACAGGCTTCGCGATATCTCACGAAACACTGTTGCGCTGCGACGCGCCTGGCGCACATATAGCTAGGCCTGCGGCGCTGACACCCAAGACGTGTGATAAGAGTGTATACACAATTTTTCGAAATGAAGTCTTTTTAACGATTTTATCGACCATTTCATCATTTTCACCTCGTTTTTGACAAGAAATGCCCCCTAGCACCTAAACGGTACAAGATAGAGCCAAACGGACGAAATTTTCACCCAAAGGGCTCTACTTTGACGAGTTACCCCTTAGGTACCCAAAAAAAATATTTCATAAAAATACATATTGCGACATGTAGTTTTTGATTTTTAAAAAAGCCAATTTGAGCTAGAATGCTCATCTTCGAACTCGATCTGTCTTTTTGTGATACAAAACGACCCTGAAAATCCCAGGTCGCTATCTCAATTCTTTCTCGAGTTATCGTGCGGACAGACGGACAAACAAACAGACAAACAAACAAACAGAATGAAACTTTTCCGGTCAGTGGAGTTATGGGCTTCGCTAATCGCTCAGCCAAAAATGTGTATACACTCCCATTCACTCGTCTCGGGTGTCTGCGCCGCAGGCCTAGCTATATGTGCGCCAGGCGCGTCGCAGCCTACCAGTGTTTCGTAAGATATCGCGAAGCCTGTTACGCGAGACGTGGTCTGGCGTACATATAGCTAGTTATCTTTTTTTTATCAGTGTAAAAGGGGCTAAGTCAACATGTTACCATCAAAATATGATAGCAAAAGGAGCTAAGTCAGCTTAACTCCTTTTGCTTCTTGAGGGTCAAGTCAACTTAGCCCCTTTGGTAGTCTTCGGATATGTGACAACTATCGTACAAAACAAGTCAAGTCGAGTTAGCCACTTTTCCAAACCCCTATATACACCAATCCATAGTACTTAGCACCAAACGGTTTGGTAAACAGATGTGGATTAGCCCATCCCATTTCATGGGTCGAAATCGTGGATTTCGGAGGTACGGGGCCTAAATGGTAGATTTAACCTAAGAGAGTCCCTGTGCAAAGTCCAGGGCCTGTGCGACAACGCTTACCCGGATCGCATTGCGATTTTCGTTTTGGCCCAAACTTGGCGCTAACCGCTAACCCGCAGACATTACTGATTCTTAAAGGTCTCAGTGTGTCCTCGGTTTTCATGCAATAAAAAATTGGGGCTACGTCCGCGTAATTTTCTGTAACTGGCGAGTGACGTCGGGCGCACGTTTAGGTCCCTTGACACGCCCCGGGTGTCGGGAGCTCGGATCTTGCACATCTGACACAAAGTAGGACCCATAGGGTAACACTTTCAGCCCGAGTCGTTCGCCCCGGTGGTCCCACCGTGCGCGCAGTGCAGCGCCTACAAGGTGGTCTACCTGTTTAGCGCCAAGTTTGGGCCAAAACGAAAATCGCAAATGCGATCCGCGTAAACGTTGTCGCACAGGCCCCGGACTTTGCACACGGTCTCTGATAGCTCAGAACTACCATTAAGGCTACGTACCTCGAAAACATTTTTGGAGAGGGATGGGCTAATGTCGATTATAATCTAGTTTAAAATGCCATCAAAATCTCAGTTTGGTGCTAAGTCAAGTTAGCCCCTTCTTCCGCTTCACAGCAGAACTGGACAATAGGTATCAGCATAGCGCATACCAGGTATTTGGGAAAAGCCCTTTGCAGCAAGGCGTGCTCTGCACTTATTAATTGTACCATCAATACTGCGATTAATCCTAAGTACCCATCTACATCCATTCACATATTTGTTGTCAGGATTTTTAACTACATTCCAAACATTTTACTGCTTGGAGCAGAAGTCCTGGACCTTTCGGATGTACTGGCTCATGCTCATCTCGGGCGGCTTATCGAAGCGCCCTAGCTGCTTGATGAGCATTACTGTGTGCATGAGTGTCTGCCTCCCGTGGATACGTGATAGAGTATTTAACATACCACTCGCTCCACTGAAATTCTTCACATCATTCAAGATATCCTCACTTACATGTTTGATTATATACGCACGAGCCTTCTGATTTGTCTTGCTCTCGGCAGCGGTTACAACTTGAGCACCTTCTCCGAAACCGGGGTCGACAGCCTCCCCCCACACAGCCAACTCAGTGAGGTCACCTTCCGCCTTTAGCGCCAATGTGTCGTAATTGTCTTGATTCAAGATGTTGTATACGCCTCGCAGTACTTGAAGAAGTTCTTCGTTGGCTTCGGACATGGAAGCAGAAGAAGAGCACCTGTAGAACACGGTTAACTTCCACTTTTAGATTCGCGAGTTACAGCGACCTGGGCCCATGAGCCTGTAGCTTTTAGGTATGGGGCGTGTCCAGGAAAGAAGAGTCAGATGTACCTCAACGACTTTTATTGTACGACTGACAACGACAGGTTTCCACTGAAGACTGACGAAACAACCACGTTCTAGCAGACAAGTAAACATTCAAGAAGAACAAGATGTAACAAAGTGGCGCCAACTGACAAGTGACCAAATGTAGCATAATTAAATATCAATCTTACAACATTCAACAAGTTAAGCATCTCTTGGCGCATACACATCACATAACGTCATATACTCTATTTCCTTCTTATTTGATGACTTAATATATCACAGTAATCACACATTGAACACATTTTTCAAACCTCACCTGGAGTCGAACCCTGAACATAAATAGAAATCCTTCCTCCTTAACCTCTCACTCGGCCACGAGGAAAGCGCTGAGCGAGGCTACCTGCCTCAGGCGGCATGCGCGCTCTGATCCTTTGCACGTAGCGGAGGGCCTGGCTGTTTGAGTTTAGCACACACCTTTTCGTTTAAACCATAACCAACATTACGATTTTTGTTTAAATATTTTTGGGTGCACAGTAATTAAGCAATAAATTTCACCGACACACAAACTCGCCATGCTGGGCCGTCAAGCGAGTTTCTGATTCTGAAACAATGTAAAGTTGATTCTTTGACTGAATATTCATACTTTGCATATTCACATCTATTCTTAAATATCTTTTTCAGAAATGATACTCTTAATACTCAGAGTCTAAAGAAAGAATTTAAAGATGCTTATTCTAAATTTAAAGGAATTTAGTCTGAATTTCTGGTGAGACTAGTCAGTATGAATTTTCAGACTCTTAGTATTAGAATTTCGACTAAGTAGTATGGAAACTCGTTTCCAAACAGCGTAGTCTGAAAGAGTTTGAATTTCAGATTTTTGGATTTTGTTTAACAATGTAACCGGAGCCTGATTAAAGACGCTGGTTCTCTCTTATCGACGTCAGTGATTGCACTTGAGAGGCCGATAACTCGCCCATCAGTCCGCGGACGACCGCCAATGATGAAAGACTCAATCACGGTAATGCTGCTCCTTGCAGCTGGCCTCAGCTGCACTTCTGGTGGGTACCAAGGGTTTGGAGGGGAGATTTGTTAAAATTGCGAAACGACAGCGTGTCCGCATTTCGAAGGGGGCGTAGGGAGATTAGCATGTAAAATGGCCTAGTCACCACAACATGAAACACAACACAATGTGTAATACTTGGCAAGAAAAAAATACAAATTACCCCTAATAGTTGTGCATTGAAGATCAGTCTAAAGTGTGAACTTTGCCTGGTACGTAGTTATTAATGTTACAGGTCACATTGGGTTCGGCGAGGGTGGACAGGAATGGGGCTACGTGGACGTGCGCGAGGGTGCGCACATGTTCTACTGGCTGTACTACGTCAACGGAGGGAATGAGCCTGCAGGAAAGCCTCTCGTTATCTGGCTGCAGGGTGGGCCTGGGGCGTCATCCACCTCGTTTGGCAACTTCGAGGAGCTGGGCCCGCTCGACACGGACCTCAAGAAGCGCGAGAAGTCCTGGGTATACGGACTCATTTAACAAACTTAAAATTACACACACTTTATTCTTCTGCACTATCCAATACGCACTCCCGTGTGTCTGTAAACATGCGCTTTTGCGTATTATTTTATACGGAGTTAAAGTTGTTCACAGGCGCAAATATTTCTCCAAAATTGTTCATAATTGCCTATGAAATAATACCTACTAGCGCATGTTTACAGAAATACGTAAGCTGCGCACATACAACAAATTAGTGCGAACCTTTTAAGTTGCTTTTGTTAGATCTATCGTAATAAATTTTTAGTCCCTCTACCTTTTAACGTTTCAGGTGAACCACGTGAATATCATGTTTGTTGACAATCCTGTGGGTACCGGGTTCAGTCGCGTGGACCACTCCCGATACTTAGCTCAAAACAACCAACAGATATCTGCTGATCTCGTGAAACTGTATATCGGTTTCCTTGAGCAAAACCCCAAGTTCAGAGGAGTTCCGTTGTACATATTTTGCGAATCGTACGGCGGGAAGATGACAGCTGAGTTTGCGTATGAGTTATACAAGGTAAACTAGCTGCACTGTTTAGCAAGCATTGCTTTGCAGAACAGCGAAGAATTTAGAGCCTTTAAAAATACATAGCATTTACTTTGCCATTGCAAAATGGTGCTTCAATTTTCGAATTTTGAATTTACAATAGATTGTTATCCCTCTTTACCCTTGTAGGAGAAGGAGAGATCTAACAACAAAGACATAAATATAAAAGGTATCGCTGTTGGGGATGGATGGATATCGGGGCTTGACTCTACCATCACTTGGGCCCCATTTTTGAAACAATATGTAAGTATACTCCGTATGGACTTGAAATCGAATGATGAGCATGAGACGAGCTTGG